AGCCCCCCCCACTAGAACTTCCCACTGTTGCTAAGTTACCTGCTGACATGTCAGAACCCAGCCCCTTCCCCAATACACAGTATATTCATTATTACTCTTTCTTTGAATAAATGAGACTTGATCAGAATCCTGTCTTGTCTCCGTTCTTCGTGTCTCTTGTCTCTTTTCTCATCCCCACTCCCCCTCTAGGGTCTCCGTGGACTTACCCGGGGCTGGGACACCAACTAACTCCTGATATCAGCGGACAAAGCTAGCTAATACTGGCTTGTAAATATCCTCTCACTGTTTTGCTGGGCACAGTTTCAGTTTTATGATGGCCTATCCTCCAAACACGGAGTTGTAACTCATAACTGAAATGATAATGATTAATAATAATAATAATAATAAATATTGTAAGGTAATTATAACTTCCTTTGTGCTTGCGTGCCAGCCTGGCTTCTAAAACTACTATGAAAATTGTATTTGATCCTCAAAAGAAGTCAATGAAGTACTTATGATATTCTTATTGTATTGCTACGATTTCAAAAATAACTGAAATTTATATTAATAAAATACATGCAAGATAAAATTTACCATTTTAATCTTTCTCAGTATACAATTCAGTGGTGTTTAGCATAGTGACTAAGCTGTGCAATCATCAACACACTTAAGTTCAAGAACAAGTTTCACCACTGTGAGGAGAAACCCCTTACCGCTTCTCTCTCCATACCCACATCTGTCCCCAGCCACTAGAAGTTAGATTCTCTGTGTCTAGTCACTTCATATAAATGAAATCATTCATTATATGCTTGGAGTGAACTCCCATGACCTCAGGGTCCTCAGAATTTATTTCCAGTCTGAGCTGACTTCTCTCCTACAAGAAGCAGACTACATCCTTCTTTGACAGCTTTTAGTTATTTGGCTCTTCTCACTTGCTTATCAGTGCAGTTGATCCACCCGTGCCCTGGTGACTGCCTTCCCTTAGGACAGCTAGGTGCACACCTACTGGATGTGTTCCACTGGCCCCTGCTCCCTGCATAGATAGGGTACATATGCCATAGGGTCCACCTCCCCATGACACCATGATGCTGTTTAGTAAGACCAGCTTGCTCCAGACAACTAACTAGATTTTTCTGCAGGAGATCCACCTATGTGTAGGCTGAACTTTGGACCCATGTACCTCTCTGTCTCTGTCTCTTTCTCTCCCTACTCAGGGCAGAGCATCCATCCCCCTCACAATTCCCTTTAGCATTGGTCCTACAAGGTGTGTCACTCTCTTCTCTCTAGGACCTATGTGCAATCAACTGGTTGTTATTTTGCATGTTGTTGGGAGGTGGCCACCCACCTCTACCATCTTTCCAATCTGAGCTCTCTACAGCAAGGCTACTGCAATGTGAAGGAAATGAACAAGGGCAGACAAGAACCACTAGGAGTCTGCCAAGGTACACATGCTGGTTGTGAAAGAGACAACTGGTCATGGTTTAGACCTTGCAGCATAATACTGTCAACCAGGATAAAGAAATGTGTTGCCAGACATGGTGGCACACACCTGTAACCCAGCACAAGGGAGGCTGAGGCAAAAGGATCACTGCAATGAGGCCCAATGGGGGCCACATTGTGAATTCAAGACCAGCCTGAACTATATAGCAGACCCCGTCTCAAAAAAGAAAAGAAATGTCTGATGAAAGCCACACTCCAAACACCTATAATCAAATATCCCAAAGTTTCATCAGAGCAGGAGTAGAGTTCACAGTACTCTTTTCTTATGGGAAAATTCCCAAGTCAAACAGAAAAGAAAATTCTTTGCACTGAAGATATAAGAGAAGGCAGTGATAATCTTCATGCCAGTAGAGTGTTGCAGGATCATTCCCAAAGGCAACAAGCATAACTTGACAAAGAGTTTAGTTTACTTAGCCTATAGAAGTGGGAAGTGCAAAGCAAGTGACAAAATATTACATAATTGGTTACACACATTGAGTCATATATTGACAGGCAAACTAATCATAAACAGATTTGCTGAAACAAAGGAATTGTGTATTGTACTATAGAAACATTCCAGGAACAAAGAGAGGGGGTCCCACAGGAAGAACATAGTTAAAAGTGTCCTTGAATAGTCAGGTGTGCTTTATGGTATAGATGATTAACTCATTGCTTAACAGAGGTTTGCAGCTGGGCAACTGAATTCAACAGAAGCAGCAGAAACTTGATCTCTGATTGCTCTCTAATTTGTGTCATGAAATATCTATAAGGTTGCTGTTTTACAAATGTGGTCTTATAATTGTGCCCCAACATTCTGAGATAAACTTCACAACCAAATAGAGAGAAAGAAAAAGAGTCCAATATTGTCCTTTTGCATTGGCTTCTTTAACACGTCTTAAGGTTCATCTCAATACTTATTATTTGAAGATAGAGGTCTATAAACAGGTACTAGAAGAAAAGGGATCGAATGAATGAGTCTCAATTCTATAGGGCTTGAGTCTTTAAAAAAGAGAAAGAGATATCAGTTACCTGTGTATGTGAGCCAGAAAGGAAAGACCATGTGAGCGTGGAAGGAGAGCTGGACGATGCTGCTAACATATTCAATGGATTTTTTGTGCATTCTCGATTTTTTTTCCTTTGGTATATATCTTCATTTCTCCAAGTGGTATAAATGTCTCTAGTGGTATAAATGTCTCTTTTATATTATGGTAATGTTTTGAGGGGTGTCTACTATTGCATCTGTCTTTGACCTCCTGTCCAACTATTCAGGTGTTAGGAGGCTGAGACCAGAGGAGCAAACCTTTGAGGCCACCCTAGGTGACAAAGTGATGTTCTGTCTCAGAACAAACGTATCAAGTAGGATTGAGATACAGCACAAGCATATTGTTCTTAACTTTAGCCAACATAAAATGTAATTTTTCTTTTCATGAAATAAAAAAGTATATTCTGAGCCAAACATGAGTGACTATGGCCCAATTAAATGGATTCAAATTATCCCTACAGGGTATTTTACATGTATTTTACAGAGAAAAAAAGAAGTCATGAATAGGATATTTACAAAATATATGGGTGAGGTCATCACATAGCAAAGTGGAAAATCCCTTCTCTGTGACTCAAATATTTCCTTTATCAAATTCGAGAACCTCTTTTACAGACTCAGTTCTCATCTTTATCACATTTCTTAGCTTGGCAGAGACTAACAGTTTTACTTAATATTCAGGAGGATATGAGATCAAATACTCAGACTGACAGTAAATGGCTTTTGGAAAGGGACTAAATTCAGTCCAGTATGAGATTTATTTATTTACTTATTTATTTATGGTACTGGGAATTGAAAACATAGCCTCAACCTTGCCAGACAGATGCTATGCCTCCGAACTAAATCCCGAGCCCCAGTCCAATACTACTTTGACTTCTATCTGCAACATTCCACCTCTCTAAAACTTCAGTGCTTCAGTTACTCATGGCTCCAAGAGCCTTTATCAGATAACTTTTCTTCATACCTCCTTAAGTTGCCTCTGGGTTGTCTGTGTTCTATGTGCAACTCCATTCTGCTGTCTGAGCAGATCACCGGATCTGTACATCCAGCCCCAGTTTAAGAGTAAAGGGACCAACTTTAAAAAGGGAAAATAAATCACTTTATTTGCAAGAAAGGAAAGAAGACAGCTGAGAAGCCAGGATGTCTTGTCTGGACTCAGATTTTGCTGATAGGAAGTCAAGGGCCCTTTCCCCTACCTAGAATTTTTCATAATCTGATAGATTTCCTGGGCTGTCTGTCATAGATGGATCACAGCCCCCAGTACCCCTAATCCGTGTGCTGTCATCTATTTGTACATTCTTAAGTAGACCTGACTGAATCTTACCTTTACAAGTTATGGATTTGTTAAAAATGACCTCATATATAGGTTGAGTTAGCAATTAAGTAAAGAGCTGGTGGGCCTAGGGCGGGACTGATTTACACAGTGATACCTTGGTTCATGAACTTAATTCTTTCCACCATTCTGTTGGCAAACTGAATTGGGCAAGAACCAAATCAGATTTCCCTATCAGGTCAACATTGAACCTAAACACTGAATTTGATGTACATAGATGTATGGGTGTGTGTGTGTGTGTGTGTGTGTGTGTGTGTGTGTGTGTGTATTTAGATACTACATAAGAGCTTTCTTTGACATGGTCCACCCTCACCTCCTTTGCATTTAATTGGAGGTGGGTAAGGAGTCTAATTTGGTTTCCAAATCCCCACTCCCCTCTGCTTTTTTTTGTCCACCTCACCTCATGTTAATCCCCACGACCACTCCCACCCTTTAGAGAAACTTAATTCTTTCTGCTCAGGACTAACCAGAAAGCCCAGAGAGACCCTTTTTCCTACACTATGATGAACTCAGATTACATGCAAGTTGAAGTAGGACAAGAGAATTCTGCATACCTATGATGATCTTGTCTACTATGAGAATCACTTTTGGGGAATCAGAATACAATCAATGGTTAGAAAAGTGTGCATCAAAATATTATCATTATGCCTTGATATGCTCTAAGCACTGATGATCTGACCTACACTGTTTCATAGTTCCTGTGAATTAGCAAGAGATTACAGGGCTATTTATTTATTTATTTTTGCTGTTGATCATTCTCCAGAAAATCAACAAAGTATTAAAAAAAATCAGTAACATGGACATTCTTGAAGACCACTGACTTTGAGTTGAGAGTCCCATTCAGAGTCACAGAATTGCACACCACTGTTCGAACAAGCCCTGGTTACAGTTAAGAAAATAACAGTACAGAAGGAGACACACAACTTTTTCAAATTCATGCAGATATTTTCTCAGCAGCCTGTGGCTCTAAATAAAGTGCACACTGCACTAAGTAGCATTTCCTTGTGTCAGAAATCTGGCAGGCCAGAAGAGAGAATTTCACGCTCAGCACATTTGTTTTCATCAGCTCCTTCCAAAACAGCTATCCAGACAACAAAGAAGGCACTCCCGCCTCCAAGTTTCAGTTTCCCCAGCAGAGCTGACCAACTTTACTTTCATTTTCTAATTGAGAAACTGGACACGCCCACATATTTTCCTGTGAATATAAACAACCCTGTCCTGCAGTTTCAATTTATTTGAAAAGCCTCAATTTATGTGAGATAAAGTTTTGCTTTATGTCAAAGGAGTCCTGCCAGTGAAATAGAATCGCTGCCTTATCCCCAGCAACCATGAGGTAAGGATTTTCACTCTCCTCTCTCAGCATTCTAAAGTGTTAGAGAAAATAGTAACTGGGGCTGTCTGAATAGCTGTCAGTGAAATCAAGCTTCCTAGCCCTTTTATTTGAGCACTTGCTCATGCAATGAATGTGCGATGTGTGCATGTAGGTATATTCATACCCTAAGGAAGTATTTCTCATGTGATAGCCCGAAGAAGGATGTTTTGCAGGAAGGGAAAAGTATATCCCGATCTTGGAGGTTCTTTTGCACCAACTACGGAAAGGATAGACAGTTTTTCTGTGTAGAGGCAAAGCTTTCTGCTTGGTCCTGACACTGGAGGAAAAGCTGGGCCCACACAGCCCAGTGAGTTACTTTGGGGGCTTCTCACAAGCTCTGGGATTATGTAATGTGCAGGTGGGAGGAGCTCGCTGCTTGTGGGCTTTTGTTCTCCTTTTCTCACTTCTGGGCTCTGAAGAGGTCTGACTGAATTGAAGATCAGCAGACTACTGGGTCTCTTGTTAGGGAGCTGGGCAGCATGCAGATCTTTGGAATTCTTTTCAGGGATCCTGTCTGCAGGACATCCACATTGTCCTTGTCTAAAAGGCCTAGTGTGGAAATTAATTTACGGTCCCAAGTAAATCCGAAGCCAAATAACTCCTGTTGTCTGCAAATATAAAACCAATTGCCTGATACTGACTTGTAAATAGGTGAATTTGGGAGGAGCAAATTTGCGGAGAATGCGCAACTGAGCATCTTCTTTTTTTTCATCACCTTTTTCTATCCCTCCCTCCATCTCTTAGTCCCCTTGCTATTTCAGAAACATCTATCTCCCCACTTCCTATCATCCTTTTTTTTTGTTCTTTATTTATATTTTAAAGAGACATCATGGTAGCTACTGTTAATAAAATCAAACAAAACAGAATAAAACTATTCCAACCAATGAATGAAAACATTATAAGGCTTCAAAGCAATACAATGGGGAACCATGATTACCATAAAATCTTATGTGCTCTTACCATTTTTTATACTAGGGAGACTAAATGGTATTTATATGTGTGAGTTTGATTTATTTCGCTTATGAGTATGGTCTCCAGTAGCATCCATTTATTTATAAATATCTCAATGTGATCATTCTTTATAGCTGAGTAGCACTCTATTGTATAAAACACTACATCTTTTTTATCCATTCCTCAGTTGATGGACACTTAGGTTGTTTTCAAGATCTAGCTATTGCAAATTGTGCTGCTATAAAACTTGGGTGCACTGTGGTATGATTTCAGTTCTGCTGAAAGATATGCCCAGAAGTGGAACAGCTGGGTCAAATGGGAATTGCAATCCCAGCTTTTTTGAGGAATCTCCAGACTTATTTCTACAGTGGTTGCACAGTCTACACTCCCACCAACAGTGAAGAAGAGTTCCTTTTTCCCCACAGCCTCTCTAGCATTTGTTGTTGGTAGTATTCTTGATCTTGGCCATTCTTTCTGGAGTGAGATGGACTCTCAGTGTTGTTTTAATTTGCATTTCTCTAATGACTAATGATGATGAACATTTTTTCATGTTTTTATTTGCCATTTTTATTTCTTCATCTGAGAAGTGCATATTCATCTCAGATGCCCATTTTTGGATTGTGTCTTTGAATTTTTGGGGTCTGATTTTTTAAAATTCTTTATATGTTTTAGCCAGAAGTCCTTTGTCCAAGAGACAGTTCTCTAGGATTTTTTCCCAATTTGTGGGTTTTCTTTTCACTGTGTTGGAGATTTCTATCAACATGCAAAAACTCTTTAATAAGATGTGATCTTAGTTATTGATTCTGGGAAGTATTTCCAGTGTGGTTTGATTTTTGTTCATAAATTCTCTACCTACCCCTATGTCTTCAAGATTTTTAAATACTTTGTCTTCCAACAGATTTAGTGTTTCTGTTTTAATATTTAGATCTTTAACCCATTTAGACTTTAGTTTAGTACATGGTGATAGGCATGGGTCTAGTTTAAGTTTTTGGCATATGGAGAGCTAATTTTTCCAGCACCATTTATTAAATAGACTATCTCTTCCACTGAACATGTTTGGCCCCTCTGTCAAAGATAAGGTGGCTGAGTGTGTTTGTAGTTGTAGTTGTATCTTCTAATGTATCCCATTGATCTTCAGGTCTGTTTTTAATCCAGTAACATGTTGATTTTATTACAGTAGCTTTGTAGTATAACTTTAAGTCAGGGATTGTGATGCCTCCTGCCTTGCCTTTGTTGCTTAGAATTGCCTTTGCTAGTCTAGGTTTCTTCTGGTTCCAGATGAATTTTAGGAGTGATTTCTCTTAATCTATCATGTATGCTAGTGGTATTCTTACTGGGGTTGCATTAAATCTGTATAACAATTTTGGGAGAATAGCCATTTTTACGATATTTATTCTTCGTGTCTATGAATAAGAAATGTCTTTCCATTTTTCTGAGGTCCTCCTTGATTTCTTTTTCATGGTATTATGATTTTCCCTGAGTAGATGTTTTATTTCTTTCATTAGATTGGTTCATAAGTACATCATTTTTATGGATGCTATTGTGAAGGATGTGATTTCTCTTACTTCTCTCTCAGTGATTTTGTTGTTCATATATAGGAATGTTATTGATTTTTGAGTTTTGACTTTTTATCCAGCTACATTACTCAATTTGTTTATTATATCTTGGAGTCTTTCAATGGAGTTTTGGAGGTATTCTATGTTGGGTATCATGTTATCTGCAAATAATGATAATTTAACTTGTTCTTTTCCTATCCTTACTCCTTTTATACTCTCTCTTGTCTAACGGCTCTGGCTAGTATTTCTAGCACTATATTGAGTAGGAGTGGTAATTATGGACATCCTTGTCTTGTGCCTGATTTTAGGGTAAAGGTTTTCAGTTTTGGGCCATTTAATACAATGCTAGCTGTTGGTTTGTCATAGATTGCCTTTATCATATTGGGGTAAACACCATCTATACCAATTCTCTGTAAGAGTCTTATCATGAATAAGTTATTGGACCTTATCAAAAACTTTTTCTGCATTTGTAGAAATGATCATGTGATTCTTTTTTTTTTGGCTTTATTGATACAGTGGATTACATTTATTGATTTACATATGTTGAACCATCCCTGCATGCCTGGGATGAATCCCACTTGGTCATGGTGTATAATCTTCGTAATGATTTGCTGCATTCTGCTTGCCAATATTTTATTGAAGATTTTTGCATTTATTTTCATTAGGGAGGTTGGCCTGTAGTTCTCTTTTTCAGTTGTGTCTTTCTCAGATTTTGGTACTAGAATAATATTTGCTTCCAGGAATGACTTAGGAAGAATTGCTTCCTTTTCAATTTCACTGAAGAGTTTGAGAAGTGTCGGCATTAAGTCTTCTTTGTATTTCTTGTAGGATTCCACAGTGAGTCTGTCTGGGCCTGAGCTCTTATTCATGAGTTAGGATTTAATTATAATTTCAATTTCATGAATAGAAATTGGGTTACTGAGCAGTTTTACATCTTCTTGACCCAGATTTTGAATTTCATATATTTGCAAGAATCTGTCCTTTTCTACTGTGTTATCGAAACTATGAGTCTAGAGATTTTCGAAGTAGGTGTTAATAATCTTCTGTATTTTCACAGAGTGTGTAGTGATTTCACACTTTTCATTCCTTATTGCATGAATTTGAGTATTTTATTTGCTTTTTAAAATAAGGCTTGCTAGGGGCTTATAAATTTTATTTATTCTGTCAAAGAACCAACTCTTTGATTCATTGATTCTTTGGATTGTTTTCATAGTATCTATTGCATTGATTTCTGCTCTGATCTTTATAATTTCTTCCCTTCTTTTGGCTTTGGGCTTGACTTGCTCTTCTTTTTCTAGATGTTTGAGATGTAGTATCAGGTTATTTATTTGTGTTGTTTTAGTTTTCCTCATGTGGGACTTCTGCAATAAATTTTCCTCTGTGGACTGCTTTCATTGCATCCCACAGATTCCAGTAAGATGTATTTGTATTTTTGTTTGCTTGTAGATATTGTTTTGTTTCTTCTTTAATTTCTTCTGTGACCGATTGATTGCTCAGGAGTGTATGATTCAATTTCCATGTGTTTGCGGTGGGTTTGCAGTTTCTTTTATCATTAATTTCTAGTTTCATGGCACTATGATCCAATAACATGCATGGGATAATTTCAATTCTTTTGCATTTATTTAAATATGTTCTGTGGGCTAGGATATGGTCTGTTTTAGAGAATGTCCCATGTACTGCTGAGAAGAATATATATTCTGATGTTGTTGGAACTCTTCATAGACGTCTATCAAGTCCATTTGTTCACAGATGTGATTCAGTTCTGTTATTTCTTTGCTGATTTTTCTGTCTAGGTGAGCTGTCCCTTTGTGTCAATGGCGTGTTAAGGTCTCCTGTTATAATTGTGTTACTGTTTATTTGATTTTCCATTTCTGTCAATATTGTTTTGTATAGCTTGCGCTCCTGAATTTGGTGCATATATGTTTAAGATTGTTATCTCTTTCTCTTGAAGTTTTCCCCTAACTAGTATATAGTGACTTTCTTTATCTCTTCTGATCATTCTTGGTTTGAAGTTCACAACAGAATAGCTACCCCTGATTTTTTAGGGGTTCTTATTATGTGAAGTTTTGTTTTCCATCCTTTGACTTTCAGTCTATGAGTTTCCCTTTGAGTTAGATGGGTTTCTTGTAGACAAGGTATTGTTTCTTGATCCTTTTTGCCAGTTTGTTTCTTTTAATTGGTGAATTGAGGCCAATTACATTAATGGTTATATATATATATATTTTGACTGTTATCTTTGTACTGTTGCTTCTTTACCTTTCCACTCTGTTTGTCTGCCTTGCTTAGTGTTTTTTTCCTATGTGTATCTAGAATGACATTCAGTATTCTTTGCAGGGTTGATTTGGTGATCATTAATTCTTCAGCTGTTCTTTGGCCTGGAAGTATCTTATTTCTCCATCCGTTTTTTTTTAATTTATTTTTTTATCGGTACTGGGGATTGAACTCAGGACTGCC